CAGCCCTTGATTGTGATGAGTCTATTTATTACTCCGAAAATTTATTCGCACCAAAGATAGAACAATACAATAAAGTACAATATACTAAACGCTACGAATACAAATGAGAGGAAATCTTCACTATATAATTACGAAACAAGAAAGAAAGGAAGGAAAGAGATGTTCTTACGACACACTGAGAGAGGTGGGTCGTAACATTGATCAACTCGTACAACAGTCCTCTCCGTCCATCATTCACTTACTTAATTTTTTCTCTTTCTCTTTTTTCGTTTATTATTCTACTTGTTCGTTCTTTTCATCAATAAAATGTAAATTACATTTCATATGGTTTATTTACATAGAATATTTAATCACAATCACATAAATCCAGTGCCCTAGTCGAGACTCCCGGTAAAACTCCAACGGGAGTCCCAAGTTTATGAAAACTCCAGCAAGAATCGTAAGGAGTCCTGATGACTCTCGCAGGAACTTTCTAAAGTGAAAAGTCCAACATGGAGTCATGAGGAGTCCCCAAAAAATTCTTGCAGGAGTCCTGTCGAGAGTCCTGTTGGAGAAAGTCATGCATGGACTCCTACAGAACTCCTCAGAGAGCAGAATGTTTTTGTTATGACTCCCATAAGAGAAAGTCTGTCAAGAGTCCCTAGAAATGTGTACTCCCCGGGAGCCACCCTCACACTCCCCAACCTGTGCAATCCCCGAGGAGTCCCTGCCAACTCCCCATTCGAATAGGGAATTGGCAGGGACAAAAGGTGAATGCATTGACCGTTTGTTTTGCAACAGTAATCAGATAAAAGAAATAACACAATAAACGATAAACTTAATGGTATAGTTAATTTTGCCATTAAATCCCAAAACAAACCTAAATGGAAAAAAATTTGAGCGAAATGACTTATCCTGTGAGCAAATGGAAGATGAGCAAGTGAATAATAGTGAATGATAGATTATATATGTATCATTTTTATAGTAGAACTGTAGCATTTTTCCCAGCAGTTGATAATTATTGCTCGATGCGTCATCATTTAGTGAAAGGTGAAATATCATTTTAGGGAAGAAAACGATGCTGAAACAAAACTAAAGACTTAACCTTCCCAATATTATTAATGAGTTGATATGCAATAATTAATGACTTGAGATTAAATCAATTTAAAAGTTTATTGTTGAACAACGCCATGATAACGCTGCGTTGCTCGCTCAAACTATAAAATAAGACAAAAGTTTTATTCACGTCCACCAATGTACTTTTCATTTTTGCTCAAAATAAAAATTTGATGAAAGCAATTTTGCTCATTTTCCAGTTGCTCAAAACAGATTTGCGCATCTTCCTTTTGCTTAACTAATTTTTTGCTCAAAATTTTTTTGCTCATTTTCTTTCGCTAAAAGTCGTTTTGCTCATATTCGAGGTTGGCGTCGACCTCAAACCCTAAATCGGAAGCAATATAAACGATTTGCTATAATACGGAATTGAGGTGTAACATAATGCAAATGTCGAGTAGAACTGATGCCTACCGAATCAGCATGATACACCCACTGTTCTATTTCTCATAAGGAAAAGGAACTTATGACTCTCATATCGAAAAACGTGTTATGTTTAATAGCTGATAATTATATTTTGTTAGCCAACATTTTTGACTTTTGCCTAAAATTAGAATTAATTTGTTTAAATAGAAGTGAATAGAGATTAGATTTTCTGCTCGCGTATTATGTTGCACTATTAATTAGCAGATTTTCTTTAACGATCTATGTATCAGAAAATTTCAGCCATACGTAACTTCACAAATCATTATGGAAATATTAAATTTTATTCGTAGCTCCTGCCTTTTTTGGTCTTCCAGGGAGAGAACTATGACTCGGAAACGTTGTTCCTTAGCTATTTCTGTTCCACGCATACCTTTTTCATGAAAACAAATTTTCTTGTGGAAGATTAACCGCTCACCTATCACGCCAGAAAAGTTCAGTAAAATAAGTAAAATTTTTCCAGAAATAATAAATATAAGTTGAACTATTTCTATACAATGAAAAAGTGAATGCCTTTTTTTTTATTGAATTCATACGAATATGAAAAAGTATCAAGATAAAGGTCAGGAACAAACTGATATCTAAACATATATATTAATTTCATCAATACATTCCTTTTCCACTGACAGCAACTACTTTGAACTGTATATATATACATGGATGCCTGTCTATTCAAAAATAAAGACTTACAAAGAATACACATGAAGAAGAAGAGCACATATAAATATACTACTATATTTTGTATAATTTATCTTCTTTTTACTTAAACTAATATACTGTACGTTCCTTTATCACAATTCAGTATATATAATCTAGTTATATATAAACTAAGTCAATCACAACAGTCTACACAAAGTGGTAAGTGAAGTAAACGGAAGTTTGAGTTGAGAGAGATTAATTGAATTTTTGGAATTGAAACATCAAAAAATGTAAAGAGTCCGGGGGAATTTCCAATACTTTCAATTTTTTTTAGAACTAATGATGACTAAAATTCATACATTAATGATACTAGTAATTATTATATATACATCAGATCAATGGTCAATACCAGAAAACGATACGATTATGATTGATAAAGAAACGAAATTGGTAGCCGAAAAGGTTGGACACTTAATGCCTTTAAGTCAAACAACTGGTATTGCTATAACGATTCCAATTTTTCAGTTTGGATGTTTTTTACTTCCGCCGAAATTTTTTAATTCATTCGTTGTTTGTACAAATTCAACCAACAATAGTCTTACTGATTCAAATGAAATATTACGTTCTAGTACTAATTCATCTCAAAAACCTTTTAGTGAACGATTTATGGATAGTATTGATCAGCTCAGATCAAGAAATAAACGTCAGTTAATAGATAATTATACAATCGTAGCAAGTACACTTGCATTAGGTACTTCAGCATATAACACATTACACATAGCTGGTATTAGAGAAACAGGGCAACAACTAATTGAACACATTCAAACCAATGATAAAATTTTACAGTCAACAGTAGCTAATATCATATCTCTCACAGAAAATCGAGCAGCTATAGTTGAGGAGCTAAATCAAACACGCCATTCAATGGTTATGTTACAAGATCGTCTTCTACTTTTGTATAAACATATGAAAACGTGTCATCTTAGAACAGTTCATACCTTCAATTCAAGCTGACATTCACTATGATAAAATTGCTCGGTCATTAGATGATCTATAAAAAATCTTGATTATCTTTCGGGTGAAGAATTACGTCAACTAACAAATATAGTTTTTAATCGATCAAAAAATTATTATCTTTGTTTGATATGCCATTGATGACAGTAATAAATCGTTTATTAGCATCACAAACATTTTATTTTGTACCGAACAACGGTCCTGGTACAAACGGTAATTCGAAGTAGAATGAACATCCATCAGTTTATCGTCTAGGAAGTTTAGTAATTACAAGTATACTATTTATCCCACGATTTAAACCGTCTATGAAATATTCAATACGCCAATATTTACAAACAATATGTCGTATCAAGTTTATAATTTGCCAAGATTTCTTGGAATTGATTATAAACGAAATACGTCATTAGCATGGCACAATGGGGATAATGTTATGAATAACTGTCATTTTGGAAAAATTACATTTTGTCATGTCTTACCGCCGATGGTACATAAAATTGAACATTCATGTTTACAAAGTATGTTTGCTCGAGAAAAAATCAATACATGTTCGTTTATTGAATCCTCTGAAAAGCCACCGTATGTACGTAGTATTGATGATAATAAGTGGATTATATCTGTAGCTGAAGATCTTTATTGTTTAATGAGAGATAGCGATGAAAGTATGGATGAAAATATGGATGACATAGATAATGACAATGATAGTATAATCATTAAAAAGTTTGCTATGGTTAATTTACCGTGCAAATATGACTTAAATTGTAGTAAAAAAATACAACTAAAAAGCATGAAATGTAAACGTAATTCTGTTATGGATTATTATTTAATTAGTAACTGTGATTATTTCAAAAGCGAAGAATTGATTAAATTACTGGATGGTAATCAAATAAACGAGTCATAATTACTTGCTTTCGTCAATGATAAAAATCATATTAACATAATAAGCAAAAACTTATCAGAAATTCAATCTGATCAAAAGAACATCAAACAATCACTGGATTTAAACGTAATGACATTACTTTACAAAAATACTAAATTTGAATTTCTAACAGCAGTTACGTGAATAATCATTTCAGTATTTGTTGTTAATTGTGTAATTATTATTCTGTATGTTAAATTATGCTCAAAAAAACTGATTATAACTGTTCCGGCGAAATGATAAGTTTGGTGAATTATAGATTTGAATAATTCCTCTTTGGTGATGGTTGAACTTTATTATGTTTATATCTCAGACTGTACGTGTAGACATATATATACGGTTTAACTCACTTAAATAAAAAGTTTAAATAATATATATATATATGAGTCAATTGCAACTTTTTTGTACAACGACATTTTTGAAGTATTTTTGCTACTAACGCCGTTGTTGTGAATGGATTTTCAAAGTTTTTTTTTATTCTCTATCTCAGACCCTAGCCACACTACCATAAAAATTTCGTAACAATATGCCGTCAACTAACTGAGTTACGTGGGTCAAAAGTGAAAAA